TTGGGCTCCCTGCTCCGCGGGAAGCCTGCTTCTCCCTCTCCCACTCCCCCTGCTCATGTTCCCTCTCTGGCTGTCTTTCTGTCAAATAAACAAATAAAATCTTTAAAAAACAAAAAAAAAACACAGAATACAGGAAAAAATGCTAATATTGTATGACTGAGCCACTAATGGAAATATACCTGCTTAAAATACTTTGCCCTACATTCTAACAGGTAAGTTAACGTACCAGGTGTTACACATTACAGCACTTTATCCTAATCCACAAGATTATACCCCTTTACAGAGAACTTACAAGTATCACAGGCATGCAAAGTGGAAAAGCTCTTATTTACACCTATAAAGGCCACAGCTTTTAAAACTTACCTTAGCATTTGATTTCTCTTGCTGCCAGCTTTATCTAGTGTGAATAAATCAGCACTCCAACCATTAATGACCAAAATCCTCAACCTGTAAAAATTAAATATGTAACTAGTTATCTCTCTTAAAGGAAAATCTTCAAAACTTGCCTACAACTGCTCTTTTCCAGAAAGAAAAGGCAAGTTCAGACTTGCAGCTTAACGTTATTTCATGTTCTACTAATTCTCAAAGTGGTGGAAGATTCACTGGCTTGGGATGGACTGGAATGGCTTAAAATGGTTAAGTTGCATGGCTTATGGATTCTCATTCTGTTCCAATGGTGCACTGCCATGTTAAATCCATAAGTTGAACGGACAAAACTTATTTGAAGGAATAAGTGCAGTGTAAGGATTTTAGTTGGAGGTCTTCAAGTTTACTATATTCAAGAGCATCTTTTTCAACTTCATGGCTGGACCTGGGTCATGCTGCCTCAGGTTTTGCTTTTTAAAGACCACTTGCAATAGATTTTCTCCATACAGTGTAGTTTCATAGAACTAAAAACAAGTCAGGCATCCAACTAAATGTCAAGTTTGCAATGGCTTACAGGGGCAGAGAGTGGAACCCCAAACTTAAGCCATTTCCTATATTGACTAAAAGGCTATTTTGAAAAATGTTAAAACATATGAAGCATGTTTAAAGGTCTTCATCAAAAATACTTAAAAAAAAAAGGAAAAAAAAAGACACCCCCCCCCCAAGCCCCAGATCGCCATTGGTAAACAACAGCTGTATTAAGGCCTTTAAGTGTCATACATGCTTTAAAAAAAAAAAATCCATGTGTTGAATTTGGAGGACTTCTAATATGCTATCGAACACTTTGCTTTTCCAAAAGTTTTTTTTTTTTTAATCTAGAAAGCATTTCCATTGCCATGAGGTACAGTATGTCTCACTGTACTATGAGGAAGGTAAGTGTTCAAGCTCGACTTAGACGGAAAAACTAGTTTGCTTTGCTTACCATCTTTGCTGTTTCACAGGCATTTGATGCTTTAAATCTGATGTGGAATGCTGATAGATTCACTTTTTAGAAGTCATAAGCCTTTGAGAAGTTGGAGATAACTTCATTGCTTATCTATTTTCTCCTTTGCAATCAAGCTGTTCCTTAAAAGTGAGACACTACAGAGTTGCAAAAATTTGAAACAGTAAGAGCAAGCACCGTTTGCAGCTTCATGGTTGGTTTTGGCCAAACTTTTTATTTAGTATTCTGTAGTTGCTTAACACACACTTAAATGGTCTTATTGGGGGAGGGGGAAGGGGAGGTTCTTGTAGATTCCCAAGGAAATGTCAGAAAGGCAAAATATGGCCAGCATTATCCATTTGCTTTTTTGGGTTACTGGGTGAATAGCACTTTCCTTACATAAGCATCTGATCTCAGGTTTTTCATACTGAGAACATTGAGATTTCAGTTTGAAGACACTCTGAAATCCTAGAGTAGCATACCCCGACCACCCTCTAATAGCTAGCTTGTTTGTATAGGCAGAAGGATTCACCTCTCCATTTTAGATGGCTAGATGTTTGTGGAAGGTCTTAGAATTGCTTTGCCTCATTTACTGGGAAAAATCAGATATAGGAAGTGGCCTTTAGGGACACTTTTAACTTGAGAAATTACAACACTAGTACACAAGTCAAGTCTTAACACATTTAACATTTGCTTATTGAAAGCAATGTCATAAAGTCAAATAAGATTAAACAGGTTTTACTTTTTTTTTCCCTCACAAGAACATAAAAATTATGGAAGGGGAACTTAACAGGAAATTTAAAAAAAGGTAACACAATTTTTCCTTTTAGTAGTCCTTGGGTAGTTATGACAGAAAAGGTTCCACTTTTTTGTTTGTTTCTTTGAACAGGGATTTTGGTCCAAAGTTTTGTTTGTTTTTAATATCTGCTTCTGCCTCCCCCTCTATCAGATCGGCTTCCTCCACGGCCACCACCTCTTGGTGCTCCGCGGCTTGAACTGCTGTAGGAATCACGTGGAGGAGGGTACCCCCTTTCCATAGAAGGGGGAAGCCCTCTTTCTTGTCTGCCAACCCGATCACGACCACTTGAGTAGAGATCACTTCGGCTGCTTGAGTAACTGTCTCGACTTCCACCATATCCGTCACGTGAGCTGCTGTAATCATCATAGCGACTGCTTCCACCATAAGATGGCGGGGGCCCTCGTGTAGGTGGAGCACTACGTGAGTTACCTGCAGGGTCAATGGTCAGGTAATATGGCAACACTATAAATTGTATATATACAACATTTAAATCTGAATTTACAGAATTCTTGTATTAAACGTTTACTTTCTTAAATGGGAGGTTTTAAACTCTGCCATTGCTGGCCATTAACAGGGATTTGCTCATCTGCTGAGATACGGAAATGGATGGGTTTTAATGTTTGTTTGAAAAGACTGAAGACGGTGTGTATTTCAAGAGGATATTCCAGACAGCTTGTTATTTTATAGTAGACACTCAGACACTTTCCAGTGATAAGTTGCAATTTTGAACTGTAGACTTTCCTTCATATTGCAATGGTAAACATTTGATCTTGTTAATAAAATTTTTAAATTGTATTTTCACTGTTGGGGGAAAACACATAAGGCTGCCAATTTAAGCAAGCAAAATCCCCTCCAAAGCAAGCAAACAGCCTCAAAAAAAAAACTCAGAAAAAACAAAAGCCCCTCACAAAACTAGGAAAAGCCCAGCTGATAAAGTTACCCCTTAAAAGCAAGCAAATATCCCTTAAAAAGCAAGCACCACACAGCCTAATAAAGTGGCTCATGAACCTAAAAACTCAAGCTGGTGATATTCAAAGACCCTCAACCAGTATCTTACCATAACTCTCATATGAATCTCTGTAGGAACCTCCACTTGGATGATCTGAATAGTCACGATCACGACCATAGCCATCTCTATCACTAAATCCAAGAGAAAAACTTGTTTAGTTACAGGGCATCAATTTTCAGAGCAATTTCATTTTTTACAGCAAGCTTGTGGCAAGCAGCAATATTACTTTACCTATAGCCTCTCGATGGGTAGTCATCACGTGAACTGGAATGACCATAATCACGGTAAGTATAATCTCTTGGTGGTGGTGCATAATCTCTTGTATCACGAGAACTTGGGTAATCTCTGCTTGAATAGCTACAAAAACAAAATTTAACTTGGTTCACACTTTTGAAAAGTTCTCCCTTCAACCTCAATTATTAGTAAGACAAACTACCACATTTGTCTGTTACCTGTCTTTAGTAGAGTATCCATCATCTCTTGGGGACAAATAAACATCTCTACGAGAGGGCAGGGGTTCCCTTCGAGGTGGGCCTCCGTAACTATCTCTTCCGCGTGACACAGGAGCTTAAGGGAAAAAAACCCATTTTTAAAATACACCCAAAATGGAAAGCTAAGATGTGCATTTACATTCAGGCAATGAAAAGCAGGGATTCAAATAAGACAGTATGGACCTAAATCAAGACGTTTCTTCTTTAAAATTTCCTACTCACAATCTTTTCAGTACTTACAACTTTATGTACCTAGATTCCCCTCTAGTCCATGAGTCAGTTTCATAAGCATCATTTTTATATTTAGAAGTTTATTTTATTTTGTTTAAGATTTTGAGAGAGCAAGAAAGAGCACAAGCAGAAGGGAGAGTAAGAGGGAGAAGCAGGCTCCCCGCTGAGCCAGGAGCCCTACATGGGGCTGGATCCTAGGACACTGGGATCATGACCTGACCTGAACGCAGAAGCTTAACAGACTGAGTCACCCAGGACCCCCTAAGTTTTTTATTTTAAAGCATCATTTTTGAAATTCACTTATCAATCCTTTGTTATAGTGGCAGAACAGATTGTTTTATAAATCCAGCATTTACCTCTTCCTCCCATTCCACTGCTGCTTCGAACTGGTCCTGAAGGGGCAGATCTTTTAGGAGGAGGACCACCACTTCGTGGTGGTGGTCCTCTTTTTACTGGAAGTGGTCCCCTGGAAGAACTCATGTTAAAATTCATGGAATAGCCACCATCATCTACATTGAAATAGAAAAGAAAAACATGTTAATTCTAGCATCAATAAGAGGTTTCTTTGCTGTATCAATGACCACTTTCTGTTCAGTTGGGGAATCTTGAGTTTTTACTTGCCCAAGACTACCAAGCATAAGGGAGTCTATACAGACTAAAAACAAAACTGAAGTGTAGTCTAAGTTGCTTCAAAGAAAAATACAAATTGTTTCATTTTTATACACTTAACAAGTATTTATTATCAAAAATTTTCTGAGAAAAAATTTTCTGCAAATTCTGGATAATTTTGTTGCCCATGGTTTCATTTTTTTATTATTTACAGTAATCTCTACAACCCAACATGGGACTCAAACTCATGCCCTGTGATCAAGAGTTGTCAGCCAGGTTCCCATCCATTGTTTTTTTTACATACTAACTTAGGATGCCTTCTACGTTTCTCTTAAGTCATTAGGACTTTGGTAAATGAGGTGTTCGGAGTATCAAAAGCTGGAGAATTTACAACAGGACTTAACCAATGCAGACTGGCGTGGGGTTTGCAGTTCCTAAAATTCTCCAACAAGCCTGGGGTAGACTCATTACCCATATGCCCTCCACGTGAGGGAGGTCCCCTGGTTCCTCCACTTCCTCCTCTTCCGCCTCTAAGACCTCTTGGAGGGCCTCTGCTTCTTGGAGGTGGAGGTGGTCCACGTCTACCACTTTCAAATGATGGTTTAGTGGCCTGTTCTACTTTGATGGCTTTTCCATCTAAGGACTAAAGAATATCAAAATGGTTAATCGCATCCTTATTTAAAGAGATCTTGCAGATCCATTCACTATGCATTGTGACACCAATGTGCCCTCCAAAATGAGGTTTCTAGGTAAATTTAGCTCACCAATTAATCTGAGAAAAGCGGTAAAATACAGGGTCATTTTTCCATTCAAAGTTTTTTTAGAACGATACTGATCAGTTGAGTCCCAATATAAGGTGAATCCATCACACTGCTGGTCAATAAAATTTAAAAAGCCAGACAGTCAACTAGTTATCAAATGCGATAACCGAAAATAAAAGCCAAGTTACCAAGTCATCTTATGGATTCTAGATAACACACGGTCATATATAATTTTCTGAACGGAAACAATTTAATAAGAGTATAATCCACAACTTTGCAAAATTGGAAATTACAAAGGGCAAAGATTAGAGGGCTCTGGAAAGGTATACATTCAAACACAACTCAAGAACTTCCCTAGACCAGACTTCAGTAACACTGATTATGCACTAGGAAACAGTTATCATTGTGCAATCTCACCTTTCCATTCATGTCTCTGGCTGCATCCTTAGCATCTGCTGGGCTCTCAAAGGTGACAAAAGCAAATCCTCTCGATTTGTTGGTTTCACGATCTTTCATCAATAGAACTAAAAAAGTAGTTTTTTGCGGGGGGGGGGAGATAGTGTTACTCTAGTTCGAATTAAGTAACAAAAGTGCGCCTACAAAATGTAAGCTCAGAACTTCTTAGAGGACAAAATAGTGTATCATTTCAGACGATCAACGCAATCAAATACATCATAGCTTACATTTTTTATTTTAACAGCTCCCTATATGCTTTCAGACAACTCACCTTCCACTATTCGTCCATATTTGCCAAATACTGCTTCAAGGGCTTTTTCATTTGTTTCTGTATTGAGGCCACCAATGAAAAGCTTTCCTGGGCGATCTGCTTCAACCATTTTTTTCCCCCTGGTGAGAGACTGTTGAAAACGAACAGTATTACCTCCCTATAAAAAGTTCAAGTTTATGGGACACGAGTATATTTACTGGTGTACCTTTCTTGTTTTTACTAAAATCATTTCTTCTAAACTGCAGACACCAAAAAGTATTCGTTTCTAAGCCTCAGCAGGAAACCAATTTAAGTAGTTTAGTGACAGCGGAGTTTACATTAAACTAGTTAAAAAGGCCAATTTAACTAACACCTTCATCCTTAATCCACCTTGGCAATTTTAATTAAGTAACAGCTTACTCAGCATTTAAAAAAGCAATTCTAGTTTTAATCCTATTTGTGTTCCCTTTTAAAGATTCAATTATCACATTCCCAATTACCCTAATGGTTTTTTAAAGTGTATCGCCTCATTCAAGGTCACACAGGCCAGACGCAGGTCCTCTTCCAAGAACTTTGCCTTTCCTCATTAGGATTCTCTAATCAATCTAAGCAGAAATTTAAAGTTTGAGCCAAGTTTTACCTCCTCTTCTTCCCCAGCCCCCAACCCCGCCGAAAAGGTTCTTTTAGAAGAAAAACAACAAAGGTTTCAGTATCGTTTCATAATAACGGAAGGTGGAAGCGCGCATCGTATCACTCAACACTCCATGACTGCAGCAGAACCCAATTAAAACTCGTCATTAAAAACCGCGTGGAAAACACAAAATGGCGACACTTGGAGTCAACCCAGAAAAACCTACACTGGTCAGGGGAGTAACTTTTGCCATCAGCAGTGGCTGGGAAAACTCAAAGGGCTTCCTCTCCAAGGCCGCCAATGAACAAGGACCCGCGTAAAAGCGCACGTGCCCATCCGTAGCGCCAGCGCCATCCCAATGCAGGTACCGCGGTGGCGCGGTCTGCCCTCGTCCCGTTCCAGCCGCGACCTCCGGCACCACCCCCGCAGGCGACAGCCAAACTTTCTCGAGAGGCACACAACGGAACGGAGCCCCCACGTCTGTTTTCCTCGGACACGCGCAGCTTTATCGAAATAGGTCGGCACCTTTCGGTTCTTAAAATGGCGCCCGCCACCCCCATCTCCAGGGAGATAATCCCAAGTTCTAACGTGGCAAGAAGGTACGAGAAACGGAAGAAGGGAAGGGTAACACGTACCGGAGGGGTGACGACGGTTCCAAGCTCCTACGAGCTCGCCGGCAGGGGCTTCGTAGCAGCTCAGCACGAGGGAGTGCCGCCGGTGCCGAGAACGGAAGAGGGAAGCCGCTAGCACTACTGCGCAACGAGGGCGAACAAAGGAGACAGCAAACTTTATACTGCCCGGGAACGAGGCTGAAGGACCCGGATGGAAACCGAGCTTAGAATTTGAAACGCAAAGGGAGGGGGAGCGGTTCCCAGTCTCCCCATTGGCTGTCTTCTCTGTCATTCACTCCTTGCTCCTCCCCTTTCCCCGGGCCCTCCGCGTTCTAGCCGGCGCCCGTTTCCAACCGTTTTCCCAGCCCCCACCCGTGCTCCACAAACCCGCGTTTTTGCTTTCCGCTAAAATGGTTCAGGGGCTAGCTACATTTAATACCGAAATGAAATTTATTGCATATTCTAGGGGGCCGGACGCGGTGCTAAACTTTATACCCATTAACTCATTTAATTCTCAAAACAATGTGATGAAGGTAGATACTCCTAACTATGCTAATTTTGCGTAAATGGGAAACAAGTTTAGATCATAAAATACGTCTTCCCAAAATATCTTCAACAAGAATTTTTAGTGAATGGGGACAATTCTGATAAATGAATGTCACTTAGGGAGGGAAAAAAAGTACAAAACAGCAGACAGTTATTTCATATAGAACAATTACTGAACACCTACTAATAAAAGGCAGGCTCTGGGCTTGCCTGTGAGGATACAACCCAGAACAAGCGAGACGAGGGAAAGGAGGCACTTACTTCAAAGGTAAAACTACCAAATTTGGCAAATAAAAATACAGGACGCCCAGTTAAGTTTGAATCTCAGATAAATTTTTTCAGCATACGTATGTCCCAAAATCATATACAAAAAACTTAGTTGATGTTTAACTCAAATTTAGGTGGGCATTGTGTATTTTATCGGTGCCGATCTACTCGTGTTGGGGGGGATTACAAAAATTTAAAATTCTCTATTTAAAAACCAACGAAAACAATTTTAATACAAATAACAAAACAATTACATGTTGTGATTAGTGCCAGGGAGGAAGTAAACTAGGTGCTTTGGTAGACAATATATGGGAGACCAAATTTGATTTTAGATGTCACATCAGATCTGAATGGAGAAAAGAAACTAACCATGGGAAAGCTTTTCAAGAAGAGAGAGCACTAAGCAGAAAGCACAGATCAAGAGAAAGAGATCCAGGGTGACAGCAATTTAAGGGGCATCAAGAGAGGGAACCAAGGAGGTAGGCAGAATCTTCGAACCCATTAAAAGATTGCAGAGGGTTAAGTGTGAAAGGAGGGATACCACTGGGGTTGGGTGAACAGACCTGGAGAGAGAGGGGCCTTGAATTAGGGTGGTGGCAGTGGAGATGGGGAGGAAGGAACAATTGTTAGGTATGTGTGGCAGGTAGTGTGGACAGAATTTGCTAATGAATCAGACCGGAAAGGGCTGGGGTAGAATTGAGGCAACAGAAGTCAGTATGGAGGACTAAGTAAATATCTGGCATAAATGGTGGTGGCCACTTACCAAAATGGTTGCAGAGAAGCAAGTTTGGGATGGAGATGTGGAGAAACTTGTTGCTCAGAGTAGAGATCAGGGCTAAATTGTCGCTTACAAATGATAATACAAGAATGAGACCACCAAAAAAGAGAACACAATGGGAAAAGAAGGCCCAAGATCACACATTATTAACTAGAAAGTCTGTATATGGAGAGAAGCAACTGGAAGGAAATATGCTAAAATGTTACCAGCTTATCTTCGCGAGAGTAGGATTTATTAACAATTGTTACTTTTCTTCTTCACAGTTACAATTACTCTGCCCACGGTCGCCTGGGTGTCTCAGCTGGTGAACCCTGTGCCTTTGGCTCAGGTCATGATCCCAGCGTCCTGGGATGGAGTCCTGCATGGGGCTCCTTGCTCAGCGGGGAGTCTGCTTCTCCCTCTGCCTGCTGCTCCCCCCTGCTTGTGCTCTCTCTCTCTCTCCCTGGCAAATAAATAAAACCTTTAAAAAAAATTACTCTGCCCATGGTGTATTATGGTATAAGCCAGGCAGGTGGTAGTAAATGATGTTCAAGTCATGGGTAAAAACCCCAAGGAGCCTTGGAACCAGCTCTGAATTAGTAACATTACTGGAGGGAACAGTACTCAGTAGGGCAAGAATATTGGTTCCTTTATTTCCTAGCCAAATAATGACAAATAAAGCAAAAGTCCTGTCCATTTGCCTTCAGGATGAGTTATGTAAATTACCGGCTGTGGCAATAGTTGGGAATTGGCCAGGTTGGCAAAAACCACTTAAATGCCTGGCTCAGCAAGCAGTCTGCACCCCCAGGAGGAATCAAGAGAAATCCCTCCCCCTGGATCGGCAGGCACTGTATTTCTGTCTCAAATCCAGACCGAGCACTACCAGATCTTCTCCTAGGCTCTGAGACTCAGCCAGGCCAACTCTACAATAAATGTCCCTGTCCCCTTGGGTCTCAAGAGGGAAATGTGCATCTATGTGGACCAGATCAGTCTGGTCTTTGCAATGAGTGCCCAGGAGTGTGTGTGTGGGGGGGGGAACAGGACTTCCAAGGACAAGAAGCCAGAGTGCAAGTCAGGACAGAGGGGACAAAAGAAGAAGCTAGAGAGGGAGGGCCTACTAACTAGATCCAGGTAGCACTGAAGAGGGGAGCCTTTTTAAGAGGTGGACCGAGGTAATCAGATTCCATCTTAAAGAGATCATCACGGCTGCTGTCTGGAAACTACACTGGGGGAGGGAGGAGCCGGAAGCAGGGTATTGCTGATGTCATCCTGGAGAGGGGAGGTGGGCCAGCCCAATGTGAAGGGATCTGGCCAATGGACAGTGGGAGAAGCAGGTCTCACACAGCCCAAAAGTAATCTCTGAAACCCATCCCTCCCCCTCATGGATCCTCTAGACTTTTCCCTTTGCTGCTTTCTTTTGACTTAACTCCTTTGGATTATCATTAAGTATAGTTATATGTTCGCTTTACTATAATTTTTCCCTCCGTCCGGTTGATTCTGTCCAGATGCCATCTCGATGATTGACTGATAGACTGAGTCAAGCAATATTACTTCACCGCTAGGTATCCTTGGAATATAATCAGTGCCAAATAAATGTTGGCTGAATGACTTGCAAGCTCTTTTTGTTCTCCAAGGTACTTAGTATGAGACGGGGGG